CGTCGTCGCCGCAACATCAATAGTTGGAACCAAGCTTCCAAGGGGGGAGAATGTTCGAGCGTTAAGCTCTCACTATACCTGTCGTCGCAAACCCTTCGCACTTTCGTTTTCGATAGCTACGCCACTGGCTCATACTTTTCATTACTCATGCTTCGGTCGCTCTACATTAAACTTTCGTCGCTGCATTGCACTTCATTGTTGTTGCTAACGCACCGCTAATCAGCAGCTTGTGTAAAGGTGCGTGCATAAACAACACAATTTTTGGACCATCGTTGCGCGCGTCACTCGTCGTAGCGGTTATAAATTCTTCGCTGCACAAACAACAATAAGCATCGCTAAACCGCACATTTCCATATCGCTCTTCTTCAGCTATTCGTCGTTATTAATATTTAAGCATAAGCAAATAGTTTAAGAAAATGTCTGTACAGTCCATTTGAAGATCTCCTAGCGTACGGAGCAATAAAAGCGTAAAACCAGACTTCAATTTGTTAAATAATTTTTTTGCATTCGACAGCCGGTAAAAACCATTACTCGGCTCGACCAACATGTTTAGCCCCCTTATTCTAGAACCCGAATTTTCGTAATTCGTATTTCGTGGCTACGCTACGAAAAACGAAAAATCCACATGCTGCAACCCTTGCGGAAACATGTGCAGCATTGCCAGCTATCAGTTGTTTTTCGAAGATATCTGAATGAAGGAAAACAAAGTGGAAAAGAAATAAAAAAACACTCATGTGTTTGTTTATTGTAAAATTGGTTAATTTTACATATTTTGAGGAAAATTATGGGTTCTGATGCATTTACAATTATAGCAGCAGAGTAAGAGGGCGCTATGGCAATGGATTCACAAAGGTATGCGGAGCTGTGGGGCATAGTCACCATGGGCGCATCTATGTCAGCTTCTGGTTGAATTATTGAACCACAAGCCAGAACTCCTCCTATGCCTGAAGCTCTGGTTCTCAATCCAGTTAATGCAATAACAGCTTCTTCCAAGCCATTGAAAACATGCACTTTGTTAGGTCCACCACCTGTTGCGCTTGCTTCTGCCTTCGGCCGCGCTTAGGAATTATAACCCTTACTAAGTAGAATTCTCCTTTCTGTGTTGCGGGGAAGAGGGGCTTCCGGCTACGCCGTCCACAGTATTTTTGCGCAAAACCCACGTCGAAATTTGCAAAAAGTACATGTGCAAACCAAGTTTATTAATAAGGAAATTTGAAACATTTATCTTAAATAAAATGTGAATCCTTTGATTACACGTGTATGTTAAAGTTTTTGGATTCGGGTTATGCGTTTGGACACAACAACCGAAAATCATTGTACAAATAACAAAACCGGACCCAAGTTTCTCGATAAGGGGCAACAAAGATTTTGTTTTGGTCGTTTATATAAAGCAGTGGATAAAAATATACGTATATACGAAAGGCATATTTATCTGTTTAAATGAACACCACCAATATTTCTTGTAAACACACATCGATTTACATCTTTTATTTCGCCTCCGACACAGAATTGTTTTCGTACAAAATTACGCAAAAAAGCTTACTCGTTCGTTTTTAGGCATGCCATTGTTACGAATTTCGAAAGTTCGAAAATACGATTCGGATTCCAGCATACTATTTCAATTCAGTATATTGGCGTTGCCACTTCATTTCATATATAACATTTTTCCCTCCTCTGCACGAGTTACGGTGAGAATGGAACTGGAGCCTTCCTTTGTCTGGTGGATCGTCGTGGAGCTGAAGAAACCTCGCTTGACTCCGGTGTTATATGCGGTGTGGGTGTAAAGCCCTGCGTAATTGTAGTGTTGGGCGTAGTGAAGCCTTCGAAATCTTCTTCGGATCCCAATGATGTGTTTTGCGCCGACTCAACAGCCAGCGGTTGCGGATCTGATTTGATGGGATCTGCTTAACTTGAAGCAGCTGTTTCGCTGTCGTAGTATTTAGTTGGAAATCTCGATTTACAATAATCAACTGCAGGCGATGTTCTCTCATGCCCAACGGGGCCCTTTCGTATTTGATCTACATGCCTTTTTACCCCTCTTCCGTTGAAGAGTATTTCATAGTGAAGATCCCCTAGACGAGCATATATTATTCCTCTGAGCCACTTACACATCCGCGGATTTCCAGACAAGAAGTAAACATTTTGATTTGGCTCGACCGTGTTAGCAGCTGGCGTCCCATAAACAGTTGTGCTGGTGAGAAGCCCGTGATCGAGTGTGGTGCATTTTTGTATTGCCTTGAAAATTCGTTAAAGTTTTTCTGCAATGAACTGCTTCCAGTACCCATCGCTTTCAATGCATTCTTGACTGTTTGTACGCTGCGCTCTGCTTGGCAATTGGTTGCAGGATGGTACGGAGTTAAGTACTTGTGATATTTAACACCGACTGATGTCAGAAAATGGTTAAATTCTGCAGGAGCGAAATTTGTTCCATTGTCAGAAACGACAGTTAGCGGCACGCCGTAAGCTGAAAATACGTTGTCCAGCAAAGCAATTGTAGATGTCGCCGTGATCGACTTTGTAATTCTCACTTCCGACCACTTACTATATGCATCAGAGATTATCAGCAACATCGCTCCTTCGAACGGCCCGCATAGTCGATATGGATGCGCTCCCACGGCCTTTTGGGATATTCCCAATGGTGATCTCTACTTTTTTTGGTCTGTTTGCATGTCTCGCACATGAATCACATTGGTTGGCCATGTTCTCTATATCGGTGTCTATGCCCGGCCAGTATATGAATGGGCGGGCAATCCCTTTCATCTTAACAATTCCCAAATGTGATGTGCGTAAATTGTCAAGTAGCTTGTCTCGATATTTTGGTGGAATAACG